TTAAGCTGCGTTAATCATTTGGAAAGGGAAAAAAAAACAAACCCAAAAACAAAAAGCCTGAGGGTGGACCCAAATCAAATTCTTCAGGCTCAAATACCTGTGATCACAGGGGCTACGGGAGCCAAGAACTTGGCTTGGCTGCTCAGGGCCATGTCCATGACCAAAGGCAATCCTGGAGCACCAGAGAGGCACAGAGCAGACCCAGCCCAATTTTCTACCAGCTGATGCTAGTAGACAGGCACAACAGTGATGAATCAGTACCCTGAGAAGTAGCATAGAAGGCAACGAAATGGAGGGGCACTTTTCAAAATTAGCGCAGGTATCCCAGAGAGAACTGCAGTGGGGGAAGCCAGCACTGGAGATCCACAGCCCTTTCCCTGCTGAATCTTTACCCAAGCATTCTGGTTTTTGAAAGTTTGCCTCTTGTCTTATCTGGGTATTTATACAATTACTAAAAAAAATTAGAGCTAGTGACTCACTTGTATTAAAAATAGGTTTCTCAAATTGCAAGTATAGCAGAGTACCTTTATGCAAACACACTAACTGTTTTGGGAATGCAGCTGTAAAATCACAATTAGAGCAGCAAATCAGATCAAATTGGATCTTTGAGCCAGGAATATTTAAATTCTAACACTAATTCATCCCCCAGTGAGCTGATATGTTTATTTGGCTTCAGGAAATAAAAGACAACTGGCAGTGACACTATTCTGGGGAGAAGGAAAGTAATCTGAGAATTTCTATCATCTTCACAGAGATGACAGATGTAAGTTTCAAGCACAGCACAGGTCAAGTCCACAGCCTCTGTCTGGCCAAATATCTAAATCCCTGATTTGGCTACTAGGGATATTCTTCAAAGCAGTGCTCAGCTGCCACCACAATCTGTATGTGCAGTGGCATCCGATGGCTGATTTAAATGATGGCCTTTGTCATGAAACCGTTCCTTCCCATAAGTTCAAGTCCAAGCTAAACCCAGGAGTCAGAAACCAGGCAGGACCAACAGGACCCCATGCTCCAAGTGCATGATGATATTAAACTCGTCAAGTTCAGCAACCAGGACAGGCAGCTGCTGGCTCCTGCAGCCACCTGAAAGCCCCTGCTCTGGGCAGCCAAGAGCGAGAGGCCTATCACCAGCAGCATTTCCCTTCACTGGTTTGTAGACAGCCACAGACAGCAAATACAGGGCCAAGTGCCCCGTGTGGATGTTACTCATTAACCATTAAGTGGCTGTGAAATGTCTGCATTAAGATATCCAGCCAAAAACACTTGCCCTGGGATACACAACAAGGGAGGGCAGCATCACAGATTTTGCAGCCACTCGTTTGGTCATCTCATCTATTAAAAACCCCACTGATCATCCACAGTCTGATCTGGGTCCACTGACAGAAAACAAGGCCACTGCTCCCTCAAACTGATCATGAGGAACTGGGGTATATGTCACTTGGGAAAAGTCTGGATTAAAATGGAAAATAATACACAGGTACCAGAAAAGCTATCTTCAAACCCCTCACTCAATACAGTACCACTTCTCCAACCTTTTCTTTTTTTTTTTTCTTTTTTTTTTAAATCCTAATCCTGGAGGAGTTGAAATATTCCCCTTGCCTGAGCTAACGCTGCCAACGTGATGTTGCTGGAACCACTTACATAAATTTTCATACTACATCAATGCACCAAGATTTTCCACTAGCTGCAGCAAAACAGACTTCAGGTTTTGGATGAAAAATCAATTTCACTTTGCACTTTTAGATACGTGGTATATGGAAAAATAAAGAAGAAAAAAAACCCCAAACACAATAAATCGCCATGAAAATAAACTGTCTTTTTAATCTGAAAGAACAGCGTGTTCTCCCTCTCTTGTCTCCACTCTCTGGAGTGTTTTCTATTAATATTAACATTTTTTTTCTGTCCAGGTGTTTCCTCCCTGTGTAATCTCCCATGTAATCTCTTCACAGGTGTAGAATCTTTATACCAGTCTCAAATTGCTTTTTTCCTGGCTGACAAAAAAAAACACTTTCAGAGAGCAAAGCTTTCACCCTTCCAAAGACACCTCTAGCACTAAAGGGCATGGACCCAAAAGCATTGACAGCAAGACCCCCACAGCCCCCGCCACCTCTCAGCAGCAGAATGCATTGTGCTATGAAAAAGATGAACGATCTTCAGCAGGGCGATCATGTGTTACTCTTGACAGCCAGGAGATGGGAGCTATGCCAGGTGTATATGTTCAACCAAAAAGGCAACAAAACAAGGTGGTTCAGTCCTGCTTCTGAGGTCACACCCTGCATCAGCAAGCTGTTGAAAGCAATTGCTGTGGGCAAGCGCTTTACTGTCCATTCCTCGTCGCTGCCTCTAGACTAAATCTCTCCCAAGGAGAGTGTTACGTGCTCTCTTCCCAGGTGCTCCCTCAGCCTGTTATGGGATGGCTGTGCTGTAAATGGGAGACAGCCCATGCTGCTGTCCCCACTTCCCCTTTTGCAGAGAGATCAAAACAGAAAGGTCCACAAGACAAATAAACAGTCTCATGTTGACTTCTGTTAAAAAAAGAAAAAACAAAAGCAGAAGGAGGATGCATTAGATTGGATACCAGAGACTGATACCAGCATTGGGAGAAGGCAGTAATTTTATTTTACATTTGGAAACACAATTTTCTGTGGCATATAAATTAAAGAAATAAAACTTGCCACAGGCAGTAACTGTCATTTATTCCTGAAGTTGTATTTTGAAAAATCCCTCAAGTTAATTCTGGGACCAGGATGCCCCAGCATGTTCTACAAGAGGACATTTGAGTGCTGTTTCTAGGCAAATGGCACACAAATCCCTGAACCGACGAGGCACAGGACACGGCACAGCGTCCATGTCTGACTATAGTTAAACTTCATATTTGCTAGTAACACTGATTTTTCAGCCAGGCTTATGCACCACTGCAGAAAAGCCAGTAGAGGCTGAACGGAGCACTTGGGTGGGTGGGAAGGCACTTGCATTTTGCAAGCATGGGTTGTGCCTGCAATCCCTTCCACAGATTGAGCCTTTGCTGGCATCTCATCCAGCTTGCAACCCAAGACCCTAAGGCAGGAAACGCATGTGTCTTATTCACCCCTTCCAAGCTTTAAGATAAATGCTAGTACAATTCAATTCAAAATTGCAACTTCATTTTCAGAAACACTTAAAGAAATAAAGTACCTAGAAACAGTTAAAAGTAATACTGCTACATAATGAGGAAAATGTTGTTGCCTGCTGAAGAAGGGCTGTCTTGCACACCCATAGGTGAGAACAGTGAGAAAGTTCAATTGTCTACCGTCTGCTACATTAGGAAACTTCACATAAGCCCAAGTTTCAAGAGTCACGTTTATACAGGAAACTGCAAGGCAGGAGCTTGTGCCTGGTTGAAATGGGCATGGGCTGCAGCCCATGCAGAACCCATGCTCTCATCATCCATGGAGAGCTGGAGCAAGCAGTACCCACAATCAAAATTATTTGGAAGGGACCTTACAGTCCATCTAGTTAAATGAAGAACCTGCCCAGTTGATGTAGTTCATCACTGTAAAGAGCAAATTCAAACCAAAATGCTTCTGTGCCCATTGCTGAGGAGCTGCATGTCCTGCGCAACTGCAAAGCATTTACTGAAAACCAGGTCAGTGTGTCTAAGCCCACTCTTCTCCATCTCACAGCTAAAGCAAGTGAGGCACACAGTTAATTATTTGTCCTATGTTACAGAATAAGTCAGCAGCAGCACAAGGAATAAAAGCTGATTAACAATTACAGTAACACTGTTGTTCAATGGGTCCTTAATGACAGCACAAGAAAAAAGGAAGCCCACACCCAAGTCAAAGTAATTTTATTAATAACTCAAAAGAGCAAATTGCTACATTTTACTGAGAAAAAAATCACAGCTTTATGGACCAGGGCAGAACTAGGGAAGCTGCATACTAAAATGCTGATTATGCAAATTTATCCTATGAACATTTTTAGACAAGAATGAAGCAAGATTTATTTTCTTTAATTAAAAACAGAATCCTACATAGTTCATTAGCATGGATTCAGAACAGAATTAATATTAATGTAGCCCACCTCTCCCAATTCTACCTGCCAGATACCTCAAGGAAAAAAAAGGCTAGAAAATGGATTCCTAAGCAATTTTAAATGTAACTGGCTAAAGTCTCTGCAAGGCTGCTGGCATCATTGAAAGGCCACAGTGACCAGGAAAATCTTTTTGACTGGAAAAAGGCAAATGATACTCCCACCCTCCAAAAGGAGAGGAAGATCAACTGTGGAACTACAGGCTGGTCAGCCTCACTTCAGTCCCCAGGCAAATTACGGGACAAGCCATCATAGAAGCAGTTCTATGCACATGAAATACCAGATGACAGGGAGCAACCAGTCAATATCAATTTACCAAGGGAACATTCTGCCCAGCCATCCTGACTGCCACCCAGGAGGCAATGACTGGCTCTCCAGCAGAGGAGAATCAGTGGATGTCATTCCTCTTGACCACAGCAAGGCTTTCAACAGTGTTGAAGAAGCCTTGTAGCTGGACTGTGGATATTCACTACAACATGGGCAAAAAACTTCTGGACCACGGGCCTCAAAAATAAGTGGTTCAAGTTTTAACTGTTGGGTGGTTACAAGTGAGGAGTCAAAGCTAGGGCAAAATGTGTTGAACACCTTTCTTAACAGAAGGGAGCCCAGCTAAGGATGCCGGTTTGTCTAGCCAGAAGAACAGAAGGCTGAGAGGAGACCTAACTGCAGTTTCCCACTAGAGAGGGACCGCAGGTAAGACAAAGCCAGACTCTCCTCAGGAATTCAAAGAAAGGGGAAGAGACAACAATCGCAAGCTGCAACCAGGGACTTGGCCATGAAGAACAAATGCTTGCCCATGAGAGCAGCTAAGTGCTGGAGCAGGTGCCCAGACAGGCTGTGGAACCTCCACCACTGGAGGTTTCCAAACCTCAAGGTCTTCAGCAACTTGGCCTGCCCTTGAAGCTACCCTGGTACTTTGCAGGGAGTAAGACTAGGTGACCTCCAAATGGCCTTTCAACCTAAACTTTTTTATGATTCTGTGACTGTAAGTATATAGGTAAATACAAAAAGTCTAATCAGTAAAAAAAAAAAAAAGCCACCAGTGATACCTATTCTGACAAGCCTTCAGGCTATTCCACCTGTCAAGTCTCAGACACCATTACTGTGCTTGTTCAGCCAAAAACTCCATATACTGTTTCCGAGCAGGAAAATCATCAGCTGGCCTGTTGTAGGGTGTCCAGACGGGTTCTCCAACGAACAGCCTCATTGCCTTCACGTAATTCTGTCAAAGAACAAGAAGTCAAAAGTAATTTAAGAGCTACTTTCCATGGGGTCTTCATTCTGATGTTAATGGTTTCATTTGCACTTCTGCAGCAACTTCTGAAACCATTTCAAGATGGGTTGAAAGCTTCATATGTTCCAGAGAATTGTACCACTACCACTATGCTGTTGTTCCTGCTCCCAGCTACTGCAGTGGGAGATTTTGCACCTACGCAGTGATATATTGTGCCACAAGCAGAGCCTCCAGGTTGGGCAGAGACAGCACTTCTCCCCGTTTCAAATAAATAAAAAAAATCATTTTGCACTGGATGCACAGCGCTGAGCAATGCAGCACCTAAACCCTGCCTGGATAAACAACAGCAATCAGAATACCCAAGATGGCTGAGGAATATCAGAGGCTTCAAAGTGACAGCCATAAAAGCTGAATGGGGAGTGCATAAACTAGCCAAAAAATAATGCTGTGGAAAGTGAAAAGTCTTGAGATTCTAGAAGTAGAAGGACCAGTCCCTGCCACCAGCAAACCAAAAGTACACCAGGTGTGAGGTACGGATGTGGCAGCAGGGAATGGGATTTTACGACCTGCAGAAGTGCTCCAACCACTGAGTTATGGGAACTTTCCTCTTCTGTCAACTGTGCTATAGGTTTAGATCCTACCTATTTTGCAAACGCTGCTAAGTGCTTATCTTGCACCCAGGTGATCAGCAATGTCAAGAATAAAGTTAGGTACATAAAGAATTTAGCTGCGAACTGTAAGGGTCTAGAAGCACCTGAAGAATTTAGTTTGAAGATGGCAGTTCTGGACTGAAGTTGGCAAACATTTAAGATTTCTTGTGGATTCAACTCATGGTCCCTGACATTTTCACTATGTTTAAAAAAAAAAAAAAAAAGAAAAAGAAAGGCCTCAAGCTAGCAACTGTAACCGATTCATTGTGGATCTCAAAATGCAGACATGAAAAGTCGGGGTTTTCACCAAAGCAGCCTCTTATTTTTTCACATATATGATAACTACTATCCGGACTGCTGATTCAAAATTATACCATTCTCAAGACTGAGAATCATCAAGACGTCATCACCAGAGATGGGATTTTGCCACACAGGAGACAGCACACATTTCCCCATTTTCCAGGGGTAACGCTGAGGTTACAAACATTTTTATAAAAGCCTACAAAGAAAGGTGCACAGATCAGAACTACAAGTGCCAACCTCACAGTCCCGCTGCCAAAAATAGCCTCTAAAAGCAGGTCATCTCCTGTGAAGACAGCATCCAGTCTAGCACATGCTAGCTGCAAGTTAGCGGCTCTGGACCCTTAAATCCATTTTTTCCCCAAAGGTGAATTTAGTGCCCATGAAAGATGACACTGCTGGATGCAGATATGCTCTGTCTGTTCCCACAAAGACATCCTATAAGGCAACAGAGAAGGATCTATCTCCACCATCTCTACCTCAACCGACAACGGGGGTAATTGTGTGAGGGACAGCTGCAGGGCTTAGCTCTCATGCTGCTACCACATAAGATACACTACGGATATCACGTGGCAATGACTTGCACTTAGAGCTGATGAAAGGAAGCTGAATTTGTGACCTGGAGATGAAAGGTTCGGATGCTGTGAATTATTTAGTATTTTTCATATTCCTACTTCATATTTAATATGTTTTGCTAATGAACTGAAAGTCTCAGGGCATGCAGTCACTAATGTGATATATAATCGCATGGATTTGTAATCAAAATTTACAGTAATCTATAACAACATACATTCTCATCCAGTGTAAATCGGTGATATATGCCGGCAGGAAGGGTTATCATGTCTCCTTTCTCCATGAAAATCCGGATCCATTTGTCATCCTCATCTCGAATATCAAAATAGCCAGATCCATCTAAGATGTAGCGAATTTCATCATCTAGGTGTAAATGTTCTTCATAAAACGTTTTTATCTAGGAATAGCAAGTATCTCTTAAAACTACTGAACACAGAAAAACTGCAAAGGAATCTGGTAGAAACATGCAGCAAAGCAGACAAAGGCTTTCAAAGGGCAACTCTGCAGTGATTCAACAAACAGATGAGACCAACATGGTTAAAAAGGCCAGTCCAGCCAAACGGGACACTTGTAAGCAGGCTGCTGCATTTCCTTTGCAAGACAGGAATTTCTCTGACGGCCAGAGAAACCAGTCTCTGAATAACAGTAATGCTTACACTCCTTTGGGAGAGAGGTGGGTACAGCTTCTCACTGCAGGATTTGGTCCTCGCAGTTGTTCAGTTTGATCATTTTGTACCTTTTTTTTCCCTGGCATGCAAAAGTAAATAAAACAGAGCTACACATTATTCCCCCTATTTTACACTGGAGTAGGGTTGAATTAGCCCCACAGGCTACTTGAACTCTGAAAAAATGCAGTTATTGCCAAACACAGCCCATCTACAGCAACCTGATGTAAACAGCAGGTCACGCCTGTCCCACACAGTGAGTCCCAGCTCCAGGTTCTCTCTTCCCAGTCAGCAGCAGCAACATTCTCGTTTTTTCTGCGATGGTGAATTCTTTGTACGTTTCACAGCACACAACAAAACATGCTTTAAAGGTTCAATTAACAGAGACCTGAGTGTGTTAGCACACAGAGAGCAGTGCAATGTTCCATCCACCTGCTCAGGCCTGGATGCTGTTTAGCTATGCGAGTGCAGGTGTCCCTGAGCCGGTACTGATCCAGCATGGCAAGGTGAGCAGAAGTCCTCATGCCCTGCCAATAACGGCCCATCTTTGTGTCAGACAGAGCCCACGCAGACAACCTGAGTTACTACCTAATTCACCTTCTCATCAATTTAAAACCAGTATAACAAAATGGGCTTAAAACAAACTGGTAAGTGGAAATTTAATAAAACCATGGAAGTGCTACCCAGTTGCTGTCCTCAGGTCCAAGCAGTGCGCTAGCACCCTGAGGCCGGGAAGATAAAGCTCCTTCTAAGGAAGCTCATCTGAGAGCCTGTTTCAGCTGTTTTGAAATAGCCAAGGTACCACCTTCCCAAGTTAAAAAAAGAAAAAAAAAAATCCTGTACACGGAATGTACCCCCTTGATTCCATGAGGTTAACGTTGACTTTGAAAAGACGTATTTTGCAAGCAGCCATTAGGGTATTTCAGCCTTCAAAGCTCATACCCAGCTGGCAACTGCCTGCCTTCATCCCAGGGAGGCTCTCTGAGGGCAGGCCAGCATTGGTGGGGCTCTGCCGGTAGGAATCTTACTTTTGAAATGACACAGTGATGGAAACTATCCTTAAAAACTCTGAAGGCAGTCTACAGAAGCAAAAGGCCTCTGCTATTTTTAAAATAATATCAAAACCGCTTTTTAAATGTTAAGGACCTCAGTACCAGATGCCTTTTACATCTGGAAATCTCATGTGTGTGCTCAGGGTGTGCAGGTGTGGAGAAGCCAGCTGCACGCTCTCGTGGCAGACTTCAGCAGGCAGACGTGCATTTGAAGCAAGAGACTCCCATACCTTTTCCTCATAGTTTGGAAGCTTGTCTTTATGTATGGTTATTATATCCATCCAAGAATAATTTTCTGCTCTCCGAATCTCTTTCAGACATGGATCAGCCTCATAATTATCAGCATCCAACTAAGAAACAGGCGGGGGGGGGGAAAAGAATTCAGACACAAGATGCAATCGGGACGCTCACGCTGAAAAACTGGAGTTGTCAGGGGTGCCAGCAGAGGGGCAGGCAGGTCGCTCCCGGGGTAGCTGCCATGGGTACACAAGGTTGGTTACATTTACCTGTACCCAGCCCTGCACAGGCACTGTCTGAGGCTCCTCCCGCTGCCTCCCC